ATAATTTTTATAATATTTTTATTGTTATTTAGGAAAACAATTGGTATATCATCCTATTCAACATATTTTACAACATATTTATTAAAAAATTATTTTTTTTAAATTTGAATTTATGGTGAGAAAATTTTTAAAAATAAATTTTAATGATTGAATTGGGGTGTATTATGTAATATATTAAATTAAAAAGTATATCAATTATGGACAATTTCTCTCGCGGCTGCTAGGTTTCCCTCATCGGCGTGCGAGCCTCTCACCTAGGTGCTTCTCCCTGGTTTTTTTAGGGCCCCTCTTCCTCTACTTCTTATTTTTTGTCTCGATTTCCCTATCCCTTTCTTGGATCTTGGCGCAGAGGAGAGATCAGGGTGTAGGAGGCGAGGGGACCTGGTGCAGAGCATGGCTGGTGCAGGGCGCGGGCAAAGGGCGCGAGTGCGGGCGTGGGCGAGGGCACAGGCTTGGGGTGCGGCAAGGGCAGGGGTGTGGTGCAACAGGAGGCTAGTCTGGGTGCAGCAGGAGGCTCGTTTGGGTGGACCTTGTGTTTTCCAGATCTAGAAGAGCTTTGTTTCCTGCACATGTTGAGCATCATATTCCTCTCTAAAACAATGCGCTCCACTATTGCGATGCCTCTGTTTTGCTTAGATCTAGGGTATTCGAGTGGTAGTCATTGGAGGCTAATTGGTTTTTTCGATCCTAAGCCAAAGGAAAAGGATGAGGTTGGTGAAGTCGCTACGGGGGAGAATGCCACTTCAGTCTCCAAAAGGGGCTCTAGTTCCCTTATTGAAAATTGGCAACAAGGGCTTGCGAAAGATTGGAATAGTTAGGGCATGGTTGAGAGCCCATGGCAACAAGGGAGGTGCCTGGGTTTGTATGGAGGAGCATGGCCCTCCTATTGATTGAAACTGTTTTAGGGACGATATATAGTGGGTTGGGGACTGCTGATGTCAAATTTTCCTTGCTTTCCCTATGAAGCTAGCTAAATAGGTGAGAACGTCCAGTAGTTTCAAACACTCATAGCGACCTCCTTTTCTACTTTTGTAGCCTTATTTTTGCCCTTACAGCGATTGTAGCTACAATCCTTAGTCACAGATGGTCATCTTCGCTTAATTGTCCATATATGTCATGGGTACAGTTTAAATCTGTTACTAATGCTATAGGTTACGCTTCTGTCCTTAATTTGGCTATAATGCTTTGCTAGAGATTCATATGTAATCTCCTTATATTTAATATAATTCTCTATTTCCTATATAAAAAAAAAAAAGTATATCAATTATTACTCAAAAGTTTAATGATGTTTATTATTATCCTTTTTCAGGATAAAAATATTTAGACATATTTCTTGCTTTATCAGGACAAAAATATTTATTTTTTTCTCAACACTAAAAAGTTAATCTATGGAAAAAATTAAAAAGCAATCCTTTCCACGTAAATCGTTGTATTTTCTTATTGCATTTAGTACTTTGCCTATTTGAGGGTGATGCGCTGGAAAACTCTGCCTTACATACGGTACCGCGTAATCCCCCTTTTTCAAATAGAGTTTTTACATTTAACTCGTAAATGTTTGAACTTTTATATAAAAAAAGGTATTCTACGGTTTTCTTTTTATATTAGGAATTTTTTTATTTAATAATTTC